GCATGAAGTTGCCCACAAGCAATTCTTTTTTTTTCTGGGACAAGAACAACACTGTTCCATCCAGCTTAGAGTGAAACTCATTGACACTTCCATCAATTCCCAGCCGCACTGACCATGCTGCACTGAGGACATGCTGTTTTGGAGCTTCTGCCTTTTAACCTTTGTTCAATGCGTCGCCGGGATGCTCCTTGGCCGTGCACATAGATCTTGGTGAAACGCGGTGAAAGATCTTGGGGTGGAATCCCTGGTAAGTTGTGACACTGGATCACATACTGCTCACATCTCTATTTCTCAGTTCTATGATACTTGGGTCAGTCCTCTCTCTCTCTTTACGGCGTCCTTCTGTCATCGAGTCACGACCACGCGTCGGGTCACGGCACTGGGCTCGGGGCTCGGTCCCAGGATCTTGAGCACTCTCTGTGCCGACTTCATCCAAGACGAGTCCAAGGCCGGACGAGTAGAGTCGGTGGGTGGGTTTCCACCCCACCAGGCCAAGGAAGATATGTGGAAATGTAGGCCGGCTTCGTCTTTAGCACCAGCGATTGAAGAAAAGAAAGGACCTGTGCAGTACTATAGTGGAGGTGCCCACAGATTCTTCATTGGAAATGAACGCAACGAAGAACTGGTTGAGCCGAGAACGCGCGAAGATTGGGAGGGCGTCGAGGACAAACTGGAGGGTCTGAGGACATGAGCACATTCTGCATGTGCAGATGAAGGATGAAAGGAAGGTTCCGGACATGTGTGTTGGATTGCTACACGTCCCGGGATGCAATAGGTCCGGCGTTTTTCTCAGAAGTCAAGTAGCCCACGAGCTGACCCACACAATGGACGGTTGGAACTTGTAACCGCTGTTCAAATTCTTTGGAAGAATGTTCCACGTTGAGAATTCCGCAAGACTTTGTGCAATGATTCGTCGAGCTATACACTCAAAAAGAGCACCTTTTCCCACGAAGCACCTCTTTGCACCACGCTCCAGCGACCTTGGCGGAGCTTGGCTTTGGGGCTAAGCTAGGGCTTCAGCCTAGCAGCCTAGCAGTTGGCCAAGGCCAAAGGAGCGTGGCTGAGGGGCAGGCATTGCAAGTGGCAGTGGCAACTGGAATTGCTGGCTCTGTAACAACAGCATAACAACCGCTGCACGCCTTCGCCGCCGGCACGTTCTTTTGGTTCAGCGCAGGCACGCAGTGGCCGGAGGGGTAGCTCAAACCCGGCGCAAGGCCAAGCGAGCTTCGCCGTCCGGTTGGCTTTGAGGAGTGGCCACGAAAAGAATCTGCAAAATGCCAAGCACATAGTTCAGCATACCAGGGCCTCCGGTTTGGGGTGTCTAAACAATGGCCCCTTAGACGGTTAAGGGGTGTCATGGGGTGTCTATTTACCACTCCTTAGGGGGTCCCGGTATGCAGTTCCATGTCGGAATGGTTTTTAGTCCCATCCTATGAGTGGATGTGACAGGGGCACTCCTCTTCTCCAAGTTTGGCACACCTTCGGAACTGCTGGTATGTCTTCCTTGCCAGATCCTCGAGGCCACCATTTTCCAGAACAGGGCGCTCGGATGGAACCGCCAGCAAAAGATGCGCTTCGAACTCTCAAGGATGAGGGGAACCTGCATTCAAGCGGCCAAGGTGGGGAAAGCGCATAGTGCCAGCTCTGCTCCGCTGCGTTTAATTAGGCGGCGAGTTGCAGTGAAGACCTTGACAGCTGATCTCGCACAGGATGAACATCGGATGCCTTGAACCTTCTCGTGATTCGTGCGGTTTACTTTGCGCCGCGCCGCATGGGTACAGTGTGTATTGTGGTAGGGAGACACCCAAAGAATGGATTTTGGTCTATTGTTCTTCCAGGGCTTCTTTGGGAGGTCTCCCTATTTCAATACACGCCCGCCTGTTTGACTACATTGACTGTACACCATTGGTGAAGAGATCCGCTCGGAGGATGACACATACCCTGCGAAGATGGTCAGCTCGTTTCCGCAGGTCCCTGGCCTGAGAGGTCCCTGGCTCAACAGCCAGCGCACACTCATCGCTGGAAACACTGGGCCAAGACAAATGGCAAGCTGTTGCATCTTGGTGCAAAGAATGGGCGATGAAGAGTCCCAATTTCCTCAAACGTGTTGAACAAAAAGGGTATTGGAAGTCAACTTGGACTTCTGGAGCAAACTTAGCGGGAACCTTTGTGCAGCAGTGAACGATGTCAATGTCCGGCTTAGCTTGTGCGACCCGGCAGCGGGCTGTCAGACACCGCCCGGTGTCGTGGCGTGGTTGTTTGGGGACTCCCGGGTTAGGCGATGTTCAGAACCGCATGCAAAGTCCTCAATCAAACCTCACGAAGTTAACATGTGCCCCATGAACAGAAGTCTTTCAGTGGGGTGAGTCTTTCAGTGTCCTAATCACGGAGCATTTTCTCATTTCCATCCCACTTGGATGGGGGGCTTGGACTTTGCTTTTCTCGCCGAACACTCTGTAAGAAGCCTTCCAGGCTCGGTCGCACTTGAAAACGGCAGACACTGCAGGATGCACTTCTGAGACAAGAAGTCTACAAATACTACGGCACCTTCAGTCGCCACTTGGCAACGGGGTGCCGCAGCAGGAAAAGGAGGTACGACCGACCACCTGTTGGACGAAGGACCGGTAAAACCTCAGTCAACTACCGGTGAAACGATGGCACCAACCGAGAGGATGGGAAGTCTCGGTGGTCTAAGGCGTCCCAAGCGACCTGGGCACAGCGGGTGGGGTCCGGAGGGTTCGCTGGTGTGAGGCTCATACTGGAAATCATGCATGCAACCGGGTTGTCGCACTGGTCTTGGAGCGAATAAGTCCATCGCGTTGAGGTCCTTCGGCAAAGAAAGAGCAAATCTATTTCATCAACTATCTCCGACAATATAGTCCAAAAGAAATCCAAAGACTATATTAGATCTACTGAAATACAGGAAGTAGTCTGAAATACTCAGGTCCCCTAAATATAATTCTATTCCTTTCATAGTCTGACTTTGACTCCCAGGGTGAACGGCTCCCAAGTCTACCTTCGCATGATTGCAGCAATCCAGTGGAGCGTCCGTCGAGAGCTTTCATCCAACTTCCCAAGACTGTCAACTTGTGGGAGGAAGACAACATAAAAACAACACAATACTAAACAAGACTAAACAATACTAAACACGCCTAAACTCTCCAAGTTACAATTGCTTTTTGCCCCTGTGGCAGTCTTGGAAGTCCCATCACGAGATGATTGGGGTGGTTACGGCCTTTGTGGTGCACCACAGGTCAAGCGGACGCATCGCCGAGCTTTCTAAAGAGAACAAAAGGTGTGCGACCAAAGCGTTTGGTGACTGTCCGAGACAGTGAAGAGGGGTCTAACTGAAGAAGGCCCGACGAGGCCGAGGGCTTTAGGGTTCTAAGGGGTGACCCACAGTGGAACAGTCCAGCTTTGGGATAGCTCCAGCTCAGTCCAGCTTCGGTGTGTTTCATTGAACAATGAAGTCTCGACAGTCTCGTTCTGCTATGAGACCTGGGCAATCCAGGTCTATGAGGAAAGAAGTGGATTTATTGTAACAGGGTCATAGCCAGCACCTTTTAGGGGTGGTGAGCCTCATCTGGTGGAAGCAATCCGAGGCGTAATTGATGGTGGAGTGGACAGTTAACTCATTAGGAAAGGATCGAGGTTGTTTTATCAGATTGGAGATCCAAGCGCGGAGTACAGGCCAGTGTCTCAGAGGTCCTTCATGACCAATGGGGATTGCTCATTTGTGTATCTAGAGGATGGCCTGACAGAAAGTGGGTTTGGTAGAAGGTTTTAGGGTGGGTCGTCTTAGCCGGACAGTATCTTCCAATCTTTTCCAGGTATACTCAGAAATGCCTGCACACTACAGATGCTGAATCATTGGTGAACAGTTTAAGACATCCAATCTGAGGCACTTTCCTGACCATGTTCGACTCTGGGCTGCATCCTACTATGCCAATCAAACAACCTTCAGAGAAGGCTAAATCTTGGACATGGGGCCTGCCTTTGCAAGTTGGGATTGGCTCTGCAGAGCCTGTAGGATGATTGGAAGAATGCTCACCCTGGTCCCAATGGATTCTTTGCATGTTCGTTACGTTTGCGGTCGCGGTAGCATGTTTGCCTCCGAGCCATTCTCGCTGGGTGCCCAACCACAGCAGCCTCAGGCTGAATGGGTGACGTTGAAGGACCCTTTATGGGAAAATGAAGATACACCCCGGAGGATTAACATGGAACCAAATGGACCTTTGGAAGACGATTTTCCCTTACAACCCAGCCATTTTCAGGTTCCATGTGAATTTTCCAGGGTGTACATGAAAAATCTACAGTCCCATTCTTGATGGTTTTCGAGTGTGCCCAACGACAGGGGCCCAGTGATGGGAAGTTTCTCTTGGTCCCCGGCTCGGGTAAGTTTCCAATGGTTGGTGTATGTGAGTCATGGCACTTTCTTGATCCCGGTAGTACTGGGGCGTCTTCGCGCCTTGATTTCGTGAAAACCTCGTGTGGAGCTTTGCAGAGGTCTTGACGGTCTTGACCTTTCTTGGACTGTCGTGGTTGGACAGCTGCTCGTCTCTTGACCCCTGAAATGGGCCCTCGTTTGCTACCTCCTGGTCCGAGTCAGTGACTCGGTCATGCCATGACACGCTACGGCCGCTAGTTCCGTGCTTGAGGGTGCCACAGGGCATCACTCCGATGCCGGTTTGATAGTGTGCTTCAAGGTCACATGGACCTGTTGGGTGGCTTCACGGTCGCAAGACCTCTTGAGTGGATTCAGGGTGGCCCTCTGGGGCGGGGGATGTGCCACGCAGAGGTCGTTTTGCGAGCAAGCTCGTCGTCGTTTGTCGCAGCTCAGGTCTTGGAGCGCATTGGCATGTGCAGTGAGATCGGCTGGTTGATCCCGATCAGCAACTCCAAGATGCTTTGTCCCGCCTACCCCTTCCTTCCCAGAACAGGAGTGGGATCGGCTTACTGGTGCCCAGTTGGCGCGATGGCAGGAAGTTTAAGGGTAAGTGTGCCAGCGTTGATTCTTGGACAGGTGGTGAGATTGCTTCCTTGCCTTTGGAAGTTTTGGAGCACGCGGCCACTTTGTTCAACTTGATTGAAAGCATCGGAAAAGCGCTCAGCATTTGGACCATGGCCAGGCACGCGCACTTGCCCAAGGAGGCCGAGTGATAGCGCTTCCTCTCTTGTAGGGGTGTTGTGGCCATGGTGATAGCCCTCACGGCAGGGATATCAAGCAGCGTTTCCTGGTACTATTCTTGGGGCTTCATCGACGACAGAACTTTTGCCTCGCCCAGTGCCTTGGAGGTTTGTGCTGTTCGTGATCTGTGGGGCGATTGGAGTCTTAAACTTTGTCTAAGCGAAAACACTGAAGGCTGCTTTCTTTCATGCTAGGGTGGCTGGGCAGCGTGCACTTCATTTCGTGATCTTGGCGTGGAACCTGCTCTGAGCCCAAAGATCTTGGCGTGGGCCTCAGGGTACTAGGCAAAGAAATAATATTGTATGCCTCTCAGCTGGGGTGAGCGGTGAGAAGCACAATGTTGCCAATGGGGCTGCGCTAGAAGCTGCACACTGCCTTTGGTCGTGCGCTCGGTGAGCACAGTGGACATTGCCATAGTCTTAAGATGAACATGTCCGTTCTGCAGTTCAACTTGCGGGCCGCTCGGCGTTTGGCAGGAGAGTGTACCCAAACTTTGAGACAAACTTATGGCATACTTCGGGTGGAGCCTTCACAGGCCTTGGGAGTGGGACCACCCTAACCTGGGCTGGGTGAAGTTGGATCATGTGCCAGCTGATCAGGCCGGTTTTGAGAAGGTTCAGCACTTGCTTCTGCAATGACCAGTTCGTGCATACTGGGTTTGCCAGACCATCGTCAAGGGCTTGAGCCAGTATGGCTGGCGTGGACCTTCAGATACGACTTGCGCACGTCTATACGACTGCATGCGCTTCAAAGCTGCGACGTGTTGCTTCCAGGTCCGTGAGTCGTTCCACGTTCACCACTGGAAGAAGCATAGGCAGTCAGGTCGTAGTGATGCCTTTTAACCCTGCTGACAGGTCTGCCTGGCCTCGGAAGCGGGCGGCGCTGAGTAAACAGAACTTCAGGTTCTCTCCAGGCCATCTTTCAGTCCAGCAGCTGGACCGATGCGCCCGAGTTTCGGAAATGCCCTTTCTGCTCAGAGACACGTGGATTTTTGCACTGCATCGACTTGGACTGTCCGGCTCTGTCGAAACGAAGACGTGTGCCTGTTCCGCGATGCCCTATGCCTATGCCCTATGCAGTGTTTCTTGGGATGGCCGCGCCAGTTGACAAGTGACGATGACTGTGTTCTTGACTGGCTTGTGAAAGCATGTCAGCTGATGTCGCAGGATTGTTATGGCTGAAGTTTTTCAGTCATGATGAGTGGGGTTCTCACGAGCTTAGATGTGTTGGGCGTGATTGGTGGTTCCCAGCCTTAGGCTTCTTGCGCTGGCTTGTGCTCCTCTCGAATCCTGAGAGAAGGACCCTTGGAACGAGCCTCCTCGTTCCCACAAGTGCCTTCTATCAGTGCACAGGTTGGCCACTACAACCATGCACTAGGGACTAGGGATGAGCGGATCCTGACCTGGCTGTCGTTACTTATTTTTTCCCCTCTCTCTCTCTCTCTTTGTCGCAGCTCAGGAGATCATGTTTGCCAATTGGGGTCCACCATGTCGAGTGCTCATGGAGAATGTCTCGGAATGGTTTTCCATTTTCTTCCTCCTCTACAGGCGCAACGTCGCGATTGAATTTGCAGATCGACGCTGAGAAGCGCGTCAATGTGTTTGTGTTTTTGTCCCACACCACCACCACCAGCAGATAGCCCTATGAATTTGTATATATATATATATTATATATATGTTATATATATATATATGTTATATACTTTTTTGATGTTTTGCCCCCCCAACCATTTATCGGTGGCTGTCAGGTTTTGACAACTGTTTTGTGGTCAAAACAATGAACAGGTGTGTACGTTTGGCACGTTTGACCATTTCATGTGGGAGTGTTATGGGATGTTACCAATTGCTTTCTTTAGAAACATAGGGTGATTGTATCTTGTGGCTGTGTTTCGGCTCGTTAGCCTCGAATCGCATCGGTTCATGGCAAGGCCCCCCTGCAATAAGTGCAGACAGGGGGTTTGCGTGAGTGGCGACTCGTGGTGTGTTGGGTGTTCCGCTCAGGAGAACATCCAGGCTGACTTGAGAGGTCGCTGAGGTGCCACTGATCTCCGAAGAGCGGCTTGTGAGGTGTTGGTCGACGCCGCCCGTCAGGTGAAGGTCCTGAGGTCATTGTCGCTTCGCCTGACGCCGGTCAAGGCTGAGGAGTCTGGAGAATCTCTGAAAGGAGTGTCGAAGTTGGTTGGCGCGACTCCCAAAGCCGGTGGCACCCCTCCACAGAAGGAGGAAGATCGTGCTGGCAAGGAGTCTGCTGAGGCTACCGCGGAGCCAGACCCTGAGGAGTCTTATACTTACTCCTTTAGTGAGGAGAGTGAGGAGGAGCAGGCCGTTGAAGAGGAGGTTGAGTGCAGGCGTACAACACCACCACCCCCTACGCCGAGGGAACCACCGGTTCGAGCACCGCCCGTTCAGGTGAAGCGGGAGGTTGAGAAGAGGCTTGAGCATTCTCGAGATTGTCGGAAGACACAAGGAAGCAGTTCGAAAGAGAAAGGCAGAGACCGAGGTGAGCGAGTCAAGGAGAGACGCAGAGGAAGAAGAGGAGGCAGGAAACACCAGCAGTCCCATCGCAGAAGGCACAAGCCTGGCGTGAGGCTACACAAGAAGAGAGGAGTCAGCGAGCTCAAGAGGCTGAGGGGCGACCATAGAGGTCTCCCGCCGCCTCCGCCATGTCCGCGCTAAAGGGCATTTTCCCAGAGTGGAGAGAGGGTGACACGTTCCATTTGGAGGACGTGGAAAGATGGCCGTTGCTAAACATTGGCCATGGGGACTTCGTGGAGGTCAACCTGAAGTTTACAGACAGGGAGCCGGCTGTCGACGTCGACGCTGGCTTTGTGGTGATGCAGAGGCTGGTCACTGGCGACGGTGGACTAGCCTTACTGGTTCACTCCGTCGGGTCCTCGGAGGCAAAGTTGAACAAGGAGCTGTCCAGTCAGTTCAACAGGAGAGAGGGCTACTTGCATTTGTGCACGGGCAGGCCATGCACGGAAGCCGAAGAAGGTTATTTGCACGTGACTGCCTTGAAGGTCTTCACATCCGAGGGCTTCAACCCCAACTACTATACGGCATCTCATCGAAGACAAGTTGCAAAGTGGCTTGGCAAGGATGTGGAGCCAGAAGGACGGGGAGAAGGCGGAGTGAGCGAAGAGGATCAAAATGGGACGAGAGGTCGGTCAGAAGAGCGTGCCAGGAAGCGTGCAGAGGAAGTCGACGAAGGAGGAGAGTTGAAAGGCGGGAACTCGCGACCCCTGAAGCGCGTCGAGAGGCCCAGTGCCCTCCGTTCGAGCTCTGCTGCCAAAAGTCGGGCGCGGGGCAAGGGGGTTTCGCTTGGAGTTCAGGCCGAAGAGTTGAGACTTCCCTCAGAGGGCGAAGAGAGAAAAGGCAAGGAGAGAGAGAGCCAAGGGTTAGCAGGAGATCTTGGCCTGGGTACTCCAGGAGAACGCGAGGAGATGTCGACCGACGAGTTGAGGAAGAAACTCGATGCAGTGAGGGTCCGACTTGGTGGGGCACCCAGGCCCTCCATCCAGGAGTTGAGGAGCTTGCCAGAGGATGGCGATTGCGGGGCTCGAGAGCGGCGAGAGTCACTCGATTCAGGCTTTGCGGAGGAGTTGAGAGGTCTGACGAGTGGGACGACGTTGAGGAGGAAGAGACCGTTGGAGGATACAAGAGGTTCTTCTTCGAGAGATGTCTCGAGCCAGCTTGTTCGGCAGGCCCAGGAGAGGAGGTCAGAAAAAACTTCAAGAGGGAGCGAGGGAAGAGAGAAGAGAGAGAAAGACTCAGAGAGAAAGGAGATCCTCGCATTGTTGAACCAGGTTGCGTCAAGAGGAGCCTCGGGTGGCAATGGAGGAGATTCGCCCAGTCGAAAAGGAGAGAGAGGGCGGTCGAGCAAGAAAAAGAAAAAGAAAAAGAAGAGGAGCAAGAGCCGGAAGCGAAAACGCAAGCTAGTCAACGGGGTCATCATGAGCTCCGACGGATCCGGCAGCAGCTCCGACCGAGACTCTTCAAGCGAGGGGTCATCAAGCGAAGGGGGCTTCGAAGCGCCACTCAGGCGCCGCTCCAAAGCAAACCCCGGAGCCGTGCTTCGCATACTAGTCCAACGAGCACGAGGCATTGGACCAGGGCTCCCTTGTCGAGGTCTCGAAGGACACAGGGAGGTCAATCACAGAGGGGGTGAAGATAAACACCTACTTCAACCTCCATGTGAGGCCGGCTTTCTCCCAACATCGAGCGGCTATGCGAGACTTGTCCTTGATGAGCCAGATACTCGACACCATCCGAGCGGGGTCGATAGCCCGTGCGGCGGACCTCGCCGCTGGGCACTTCCTTGCGGCCCATCAAGCCCTGATGGATCAGGGCTGGAGCCAGGCGAGATATCTCGAGGTGGCAGATCAGGAGGAACAGTCAGCAACATCAGCTGCAATACTACTAGAGGCACGAAAGCACGCCAAAGCAAGCTTCAAGGTAGAGACACCAGACGTGTGGTTCCCCCAAAAAGGATGGCAAAGAGGTTGGAATCAAGGAGGAAAAGGAGGCTGGCATCAGGAAAAGGGCAAGAGCAAGGAGAAAAAGGGAGGAAAGCAAAAAGGCCGAGGCTTCTGGCAGGACAAAGAGGGAAAAGGCAAGAACAAGTGGAAGGAGTCGCAGGACAAAGGCGACAAAGAGGAGAAATAGAAGAGGTGTTGGTTGGCCAAGAGGCGACAGTAAGACCCTCTCGAGATGATGGGGGCGTGGCGCCGCTGTTTCAAGTTGAGTTGTCCTCCGCACAGAAGGTCAATGAGGGCTATGAGACGGTGCAGGTTTCAGGGAACCTCATTGGCGGTAGCATAGAGAGGACAGACATTGAATTCGGTACAGGACAGTCCATCTGTTTGGCAGTCGGGAGCAGAGTCCGGGATTTCAAGAGTGCTGGGACTCTACTTGCATGGTTGGTGGCGCAAGCAATGGTGCAAAAGAGCGCAGGTCCATGGCGTTGGGTCGAAAAGGTTCTCTTTGATTCTCAAAAGGTTGCAACTGGTCATGAGAAGCTCAAGAGAGCTGTCTCATTTCCGATGAGAAGAGGTGAGACAGAGAGAGTTTTCCAGAGGCTTTTGAGGGCTGGACTTGAAGAAGTGGCCAGTGTTGATTTCTCCGAGGAATGGGCAGAGGATGCCTGGCTTTTCCTGGCGCTCCACGCGACCAATGGCCTGGCTGGTCCTTGCAGGCCGCTGGCTTGTGGTAAGTGGTCGGCGCTGGAGGCTCGAGGAGCAGCTGCGGCGAGGCGTGGTGTGCAGCGGCTTCTGGCCTGCAGCAGTGGAGCGTTAGTGGAGTTTGAAAAAGTGGGTGCTGATTTGAAGGTGGCTAAGATGATTATTCCGGGGAGGAGGTTGGTACTTGTGAGAAACTGACTTTTGAACAAATCTCCCCCGCTCTTCCACCTTTTGGTCATGGTGGCTCCATTGAACTTGTGGAATTGGTTTCAGAAGGAACTAGAAGGTTGTTGGAGGCCCCGGAACTTCTTCTTAAAGATGATTTTGATCAACCCTGTCCCAAGATCCCAGGGTCTGTCCATTTTGGACCTGGGGAGAAGCTCAAGGTGAGCCAAGAACTCGTTAAGAGGGGGATTTGTGAATGGATCAAATCCTCTGAAGTGGTAAAAGTGAAAGAGAGAAAAATCCTCAACGGACTTTTTGGAGTCAAGAAACCTGCAACACTCAGCGACGGACGTCCGGTCTTGAGGGTGATAATGAATCTTAAAGCAACTAACTCGGTGATGCATCAAGTCAGAGGAGCTGTTGAAGGCTTGCCGGCAATAACCGCCTGGCAGGCAGCAGTGTTGGAACATGATGAGCAATATAAGTTTTATCAATCCGATATTTCCTCTGCATTCTATCTTTTCCAACTCCCACGTTGCTGGCTGCCCTACTTGGCATTTGCAGTGTCTTATGACGGCGACACGTTGAATCTCGAAACAGGAGTTTCGTATCAACTGGCATGCCGCGTGTTGCCCATGGGGATGCACTCCTCAGTCTCGTTGATGCAAGAAGTCTCAGAGACGGTGCTCTGGGATGCTGGATTGACAAAGATGGCTCAAGTACGCCGAGGACAACCTGTGCCCAGGATTCTGGTGGAGACAGCAGAACAAGCCTTGGCGGAAGATCGATACTTTTGGCAGGTTTACCTTGATAATTTCATGGGTGGAGAAAAGAATGCTAAGAGTAGTTCAGGGAGTTTGGGAGATGCATTGCACCAGAAGGTTGAACAAACTTGGGACCAGCATGGAATCCTCTCCTCTGAAAAGAAGAGGGTTAGCAGAGCTTCAGAAGTAGAAGAACTAGGTGCTCTTTTACATGGTGACGTTGGAGTCCTTGGTGGGTCCCCTCAGAGGTTTTGCAAGTTGGTTCAGGCGACCCTTTGGATGCTAGGACAGAAGCCCTTACAAAAGAAAACGGTGCAGGTGGTCGCTGGAAGGTGGATTCATGTGATACAGTTCAGAAGGCCAGCCATGTCCTTTCTCGATAAAACCTGGGCCTTTATCAATAAAGGAGGGAACTGCTTGCTCTTCAGACCAAGCGTGAGTTTGGATTGTTGTTGGGAAGCATCCCTCTTTTACATACCTATTTAGGCGCAGAAGTGGATGGAAAAATCTGGTGCAGCGATGCCTCGGAATGGGCTGGTGCGGTTGGTTTCTCCCAGCAGTTGACCCCCCAAGGAATGGATTTCGTTATGTCCTCTCGTCTTTCTTCGTTGTCCCTGGGAACTGCTCCCATCCTCGTTATTGGACTTTTCTCGGGGATTGGTGGGACGTTTCGGATCTATGACATTCTCGACATTGCACCTAGAGGATGCATTGCAGTGGACATCTTCGCCCCGGCCAATAGGATTGTGAGCCGACGATGGCCAGGAGCACAGATTTTGAGGGATGTCAAAGAGATTTCGCAGAAAGATGTGGAATCATGGGCTCGCACGTTCCACACGGTGGAGGAAGTCCACCTCTGGGGAGGATTTCCTTGCCGTGATTTGAGTAGTGCAAGAGCGCATCGACAGAATCTACGCGGCAGTGAGAGTTCGTTGTTCTTTGAGTTCCTGCGCATTTGGGAGTTGCTGAGACAAACATTCCCGACGAATGTGGCAATCAAAGTAGCAGCAGAAAATGTGGCGTCGATGGATGAATCAGCTTCAAATGAGATTTCCCATTGGATGGGGTGTGAACCCTATTTTCTGGACTCTGCCGATGCGGTCCCCCTAAAGAGACCCAGACTCTGTTGGACAACTGAGGTTGTAGAGGGTTGCCTTGGGGGCATTGAGGTTCGGAAAGACAGGCGTTGGTGGCAGGTCATTGCTAAGTCGCCCTACCCTTCGTTAGATCAATGGATCACCCCCGGGTTCGAATGGCCAGGTGAGAGAGAGGCAGGCGCATTTCCTACGTGTATGAGGTGTGTGTGGAAAGACAAGCCCCCGCCAAAGCCGGCAGGTTTGAGTAGGGCGGATCAAGATTGTCAGGATCGCTGGGCAGTCTCTGGCTATGTTTACCCTCCTTACCAATTTCGAGAAGAGTTTTTATTGTGGAGGGGGTCCTCGTGGCGTTTGATCAATAGTGAAGAACGTTCACTGCTTATGGGTTACGGTTTTGGCCATTGCAATTTAGCATGGGCAGCTAGCCACATCAAGCAGAATCCTGAAGCTTATGAAAGAGAAAAATGTTCACTGGTGGGAGATGCTTTCAGTGTATTTTCTTTTGTGATCATTGGGTTTGCCCTTTGCCGCAAGTTTCTCCCCTCCATTCACTACCATCACCTTTGCAAAAGGATGGGTCTGGCCCCAGGGTTCAAATGCAGTCTCCGTCTTCAAGCTCCCCTCAAAAGGTGTTTGCAGTATGGCTGTCAACACGTTGCTGAGGCCGAAGGGCGTTTTGGGGTGAAGGACCTCAACCTGTTGCTTTTAGGGAGGACAAACTTTACGGGCAGTGACGTTCGAGTCGTTAGCGGCGAGCTTGTCAACCCCAGAGCTTACCCCAGACAATCCATTTGCGCTGATTGGTGGCTCTGGGAGAAGGGATTTCGTGTACGATGGCCGCGTACAAATCAACGCATTAATCAGTTAGAGCTGAAGGCAATTTTGTTGAGCATCATTCGAGGGATACAAGCCGAGAAGTGGGTCGATCGACGTGTCTTCCATTTGAGCGACTCCTACGTCTCGATCAGTGTCATTGCAAAGGGTAGGTCAAGTAGTCGAATGCTCAACCGGCTTTTGAAGATCCTCAACGCTCATCTCCTTCTTTATAATGTTTACCTCATCCTCGCCCATGTAGAAAGTTCGGAAAACCCGACTGATGGTGAGAGTCGCCGCTAAAGTGATCCATAAAAGAACCAGAGTGGAACGTCGAGAGGCCAGGAAAGGTTTGGCCCTGCGAGATGCCGGAGTTACAGATAAAACTCGCTGCGCCTATTTTGTGGCGCTGAGTCTTCTGATGCCATTCATTGAAAATGTACAAAGCGAGAGTGAGCTTGACCTGAGCTGTGCAGAATGGGTTGAGCTGGCTTGGGAGGACGGTGAATCGTTGTACACGGTTGGCAATGCACTGTCAGGCTTGCACTTTTACGAGCCCATGACGAAGAGAAAAATACCCAGTGCGTGGCGTCTTTTCGCGACATGGAAAAAGTTGGAATGGCCTGCCAGAGCACCGCCTTTAACGCTTGACATTGTCCTCAGCTTGGCTCACTATGCCATTTGCCATCATGATATCTTTTTCGCTTGTTTGTTGGTCTTGGGGTTTTTCACCCTAGTCCGGACTGGAGAGTTGCTCGGACTGAAAGGTCGCGACCTCTTGGTTAATGATCGACAGTTGATCGTATCCTTGAAGGACACCAAGACTGGCAAAAGGAACGCCGCTGATGAAATGGTCACGACTGACCACAATTTCGCCATTTTGATCACAAGTACAGTTGTTGATATTCTTCGGTCGCATGGCGCTCTTGATCGTCCGATCTGGGCCTTCTCGGGACAGGCCTTTAGAAATCACTTCGATTCATATTTGCGGCGTTTCCATATCCAGGACCTGGCCTTCAGGCCGTACTCTCTACGGAGAGGGGGGGCTACATGGCTCGTCCAGACGACCGGCTCGATGGAACTTGCCCTTTTGAAGGGGCGCTGGTCGAGTCACAAAGTGGCCCGAGTTTACATTGCTGATGGGGTATCCAAGCTTCCAGATTTGTTGTTGTCACCTCGCAGTCGTGAACTCCTTACTGCATGGGATCCTCGTCGCCCAAGCGACAAAAAGGGGGTCCGTGGAAAGGCCA